GCTGGAGAAACCGAGCGTATGCTGAACATATCAGATTTTATCCCAAAGAAGCATCACCAAAACTCAGCATCTAAAACTGCACGACAGGAAAAGGCTGTGAGACAACTCAAGGATGTGATAGGCAGTGCAAACCCCTTCAGTGCACCAGAACATGAGGATGGATCTAAAATGAAGTTGGTCAACTTCGTCACCAAGCGGATAATGCCAACGGCAGTGCAGCGTAGCGTTTTGGACATAGAGGTACGTGGAAGCACGGCACTTGCAACATATGTTGATGAGATGGGTGAACGGAGACAAGAACATGTGGGACAAAATGTCGAAGCTCAAATATCTGACTGGGAAAGATGGATGTAAAAGTATCAGTCTGAAGGCATCCTCTGCAGTAGTCAGCTTGAAAGCAACCAACTCCCTGTTCGTTCGGTTGCTCCTCGTTGCAAAGTCCTCAAGAGGACTGGACCTGCAGGAAATTGTGGAAACACGTGAATTTGCCCATTACAATGCTTGTCTAATAAGGCCCGATGGTTCTCTGCTACCCACTACAAGCAAGTCAACCCTCATCCATGAACTTGAAGGAGTGGTTTCGGGGACAGAAACTTCTGAAGAATCCATAGAAGAGCCGACCATCCCTAGTCAATCAGCTCTCGTGCAGGAGATGGTTGTTTGGAAGGATGATATAAAGTGTTGCCGAGACCTGTCAGAATATTTCATTCGAAGTGTTGACAACAAGTCGCGAGGCTACAGTGACATGCATGTATTATTTGATAACTACACTGTTACAAACTCCATGAAAGACAGAACAAGACAGCTCCGAACAGCAGGAAGAGCACACGACAAGGGATACAAAATAGAAGATTCCACACCTATCAAAGACTTTACGGCATTCCTGTGAATCAAGGAAACCAAAGCTAACCTCGTGCTATACCTTGCACAAAGCTGTCCAGCTGTGCAAACTGCCGATCACTACCCACACACAGAAAGGTGTTATGTCTTCCAAACCAAACATGGTGAACATCACAAGTACACAGGAGGAAGCCGACACGTTACTGGTCATGTATGCAGTATCAGCGAGTAGTTTGGGTAAGACACCACATATATACTCTTCTGACACAGATGTGTTGGTGCTCGCTCTACGCAGGGTGCCAGACCTCAGCACAGAGAGCATCATCATCATAGGCGCAAGAGATCGACGACGGAAGATAAAACTCAAGCCTATCTACATGGCCATTGGCCCAGAACGTGCAGCAGCTTTGCCAGGATTCCACGCGCTCACTGGTTGTGATACCACATCCAGGGAAAGGAAAAGCCTACTTGCTTTAAATTCTTCATGAAGGCTAGTGATGACGTAATCCATGCACTAGCTGGGCTTGGTTGTTGGTGTGTATCCATCTCCGGAGGTGTTGGCTGGTTGTGAAAAGTTCGTGTGTCAGCTCTTCAAACCTGGTTATGAATCAGCTAAAGCACTCCGGTGGCATATGTTCAAGCAACTCAAGGGCAACCAGGGTGTAGAGAAACTACTTCCAACTCAAGGATCCAGAACTGAACACATTCTGCGAGCACACTTTCAAGCTAACATTTGGGTGCAGGACACAGTAGCTGTTCCAAGTGTTCTACATCCATTATCTTTGGGATGGAAACAACTAGATGACGGACGTTGTGTTCCTGTGACGTCGAAAGTTCCACCAGCACCAGAGGCTGTCGTGGACCTCGTGAAGTGTTCATGTATTGCCAGCAAATGCAGTGGACATTGTTCTTGCAAGACCAATAAACTGGCATGCACAAAGCTTTGCAAGTGTGAAGGTGCTGACGGATCGTGCACTAATTTTGCAAATGAGGAGACAGACAGTGATGATGAGGACGAGGATGAGGATGACAGCAGATGTGATGACTAATAACGTAGTGCATGTCCATAATAAGCTTATCATTGTGCATAAATTGGTTCAAATATAATGATTTATTGCTTTTTTGGTATATGCTTGCCGCCATCTTGAATTTTGCCACTAGACATATTAAAAAAATTGGAAACAGGTTGCTTTGTGTTCAGTGTGACCATAGAAAGTAAAAAATCACAAGTTTCCAGATTCTGTATGAATCGTTCACTAAATAACACAACGACCTACACTAGTAGGACAGTTCACTGGTATATCAATGTATCACGATACAAACTTTGACGATACACGCATCAATACGTTTGACGATTCATGATACACATATCGATACTATATTGAATAAAATCAATATCATTTAGTAGCGTAGTTTCTTTAAAAAAACATAAAAAGAAACATGACACAATTGTAAGCATCACATGATTCAGATTGCTTAATTCTGCTCGGTTGAGTGTACAGTTGGCTAGGTAGTTTCTCTTGTAGTTGCAAGTATCGTAATATGGATCGTATGGTAAAGGCTGTATCGTAATACGTACTGTATCGTTAAAGGCTGCAGCATGATATGTACTGAATTGTGAAGGCTGTATCATGATACGTACTGTATCGTGAAGGCTGTACATGATACGTACTGTATCGTAAAGGCTGTACATGATACGTACTGTATTGTAAGGCTGTATCATGATACGTACTGTATCGTGAAGGCTGTACATGATACGTACTGTATTGTAAGGCTGTATCATGATACATACTGTATCGTAAAGGCTGTATCATAATATGTACTGAATCGTGAAGGCTGTATCATGATAAGTACTGAATTGTGAAGTCTGTATCATGATATGTCCTGAATCGTGAAGGCTGTATCATGATACGTACTGCATTGTGAAGTCTGTATCATGATAAGTATTAAATCGTGAAGGCTGTATCAGGATACTTACTGTATCGTGAAGGCTGTATCATAATACGGGTCGTATCGTGAAGACTATCGTTGTAAGCTCGGGGGGATGAAGCATGACGCTCTACCTTGTACCGTGTAACGCGAGGTCATGAGTGTGGGTGAAGCGTGAAGCCATACTATGTACGTGTGGGTGAAGCGTGAAGCCATACTATGTACGTGTGGGTGAAGCGTGAAGCCATACTATGTACGTGTGGGTGAAGCATGAAGCCACACTATGTACGCAGGGTGAAGCATGAAGCCATACTATGTACGCAGGGTGAAGCATGAAGCCATACTATGTGCGCGTGGGGTGAAGCGTGAAGCCATACTATGTATGCAGGGGTGAAGCGTGAAGCCACACTATGCATGCAGGGATGAAGCGTGAAGCTATAATATGCATGTGGGGGTGAAGCCACACTATGTACATGTGTGTGAAGCGTGAAGCCATACTATGTAATTGGGGGTGAAGCATGAAGCCATACTCTGTATGCAGGGGTGAAGCGTGAAGCCATACTATGTATGCAGGGGTGAAGCGTGAAGCCACACTATGTACATGTGGGGTGAAGCGTGAAGCCATACTATGCATTCAGAGGTGAAGCGTGAAGCTATAATATGCATGTGGGGGTGAAGCGTGAAGCTTCGAATTACATAACCCCCTCCCCCCGGATCGCCGATGACGATGACCTACTTGGAGGTATCGAGACAGCCACAGATGTACATGATCGTGTCAAAACTTCATGCGAATATCCACGAAATAGTTCCTATCCATCTGCTATATTTACAATTCATCAATCATACGTTGTTTACGAGCGATTACAATTCGAATGATACCGAATTTAATGGCGTCGCGGAAGCTAACACGCCACGGCGCACGCTACACGAGGGGTGAGCACGCACGGGTTTTCTCACGCACGCACGCACGCACGGGTTTTCTCCCCGCATTTCATACAGACGCGTGGCTTAACAACGTTATGGATTCATACTTGAAATCAGGAGACTAATCGGTCAACATCTAAAATCAAATCAGTTTAAAATCATATTATCTAATCATCATCAGATGATCTAATATTAATCTAAAATCCAAATCAAATCTAAATCAGGTGACTATCGCGAGTCGGCGACTACAGAGCAATAGTCGGGTGTAGACAGGGAAATTAGATTGAGTTTTAGGTGCTGCAGCGCATGCGTTTCCGGTCGCCATAGCAACAGTAGTTGTTTCACTAACTAACTTCAATTACTTATCTGAGTTTATTTAACTAACGGCTATATGGGTGCGTTATATCTCATTTGGAATTTACTAGTGAATATATATATATATATATACTTACAAATACTTGCGCACGCCCACAAACACGCGCACGCACACACATGTACACATAATATACACGCACACACGTGCACACGCACGCACACCCGCACACACACTCGGGCGCACGTAGTACATATTACACATATACATATATCTATGACATATATACGCACGCACCCCACACGCGCACACTCGGGCGCACGTAGTACATATATCTATGGAGTATATACATAGTTATACATCTCATCGTGGACAAACACGTGCGTACTGCACCGCCCCCCCCCCCAGTCCGCAGCAGGAGGCGTGACCCTTCCCCACCACGCGCTCTCACGACCCTCTTCCCCGCTCACACAAGACACCCCTACGCTCACCACCCCACGCTCACACGACTTCATAGTTACACAACCCACCGCGCCCGCACCCCCTCCCCCCGCACCCTCACATACCCCTGCGCTTAGCCTCCCCCGGTCAGTGGTCGTACATTGTCGTGACGTACGTCTCAGGAACACGTACGTAACACTGACCAAATATAGCTTCTTTAGAAATACAAATCTAGATTTTTGGACAAAAGTATATATGTTACCCTTTGATGTGACTCTAGATACAAATCTTAGGTATTTTCAATACCAGATATTGTATAAGATTATTGCTACAAATAGATACTTACATTTAATGAAAATTGTGGACAGTGATTTATGTACGTTTTGCAGCAAGGAGTGCGAGACTATTACGCACTTATTTGTTGAATGTGGAAAAGCTGTAAATGTATGGACTGAGCTGCAGCGGTGGATGAAAAATTGTGGTTATTATAACATTCAATTTTCGAAGAGAGATATTATATTATATTAGGGTCCGAATAAGCGTGAAGACATACCGTGTACGGGGTCGCTGTAGTCGACCGTGAAGCCATCTAGCTGCATGAGCTCGGTTGGCTCAGTCTTCTTCTCGCGGTAGCTGCACATCGCGAACGTGTACTGTGAGATCTGCACGAGCACAAAGTAGCGTCTTTTCCACTTCTTCCACACAGTCTTGCCCATCGCGTACAGGTACCTGCAAACAATGAGATGACGATTGAGGGCTTCAGCAGAATCAGGGCTCCACTCACAACCTCACGCACATACACATGCATGCACACATGCACATATACACGCAGGCACACATGCATGCACGCACACATGCATGCATGCACACATGCCAATATACGTGCAGGCATGCATACACACACGCAGGCACACACCCATGCAGGCACGCACATACATGCAAGCACACACGCACATACGCATGCACACACGCACGCACACACCCACGCACACACTAACAAACACACGCACACACACACGCACTCACATACGTATGCGCGCAGGCACACACCCATGCAGGCACGCACATACATGCAAGCACACACGCACATACGCATGCACACACGCACGCACACACCCACGCACACACTAACAAACACACGCACACACACACGCACTCACATACGTATGCGCGCAGGCACACACCCATGCAGGCACGCACATACATG